AGTAAATCATGCTGAAGAAATATATGCTGTCTTCAGGCTCTTGCTGTTCTATTTGCAGAGCACAGACACCGTAGATTCAGCATAATTCTTAAGGGCTCTAGGATTTTCAAAACGGTCAATGAGCACTGGCACTTAAAGTCACCAGCTGCATCAACCCCTATCAAGAGAGTCAGCCTGTCACTGGAAGTTTTGAAGGCAGGCACTGACTTCCCTCTCCAGTAATAAAAGTCCTAGATGGCATCTTCTTCCAAAAGAAGGCTGTTATATCCACACTGAAAATCTGTCATTTACTATAGCCACCTTCAACAATGATTTTTACCTAGATCTTCTGGATAACTTGCTACAGCTTCTACATCAGCACTTGCTGCTTCATCTTATATTTCTATGTTATGGAGATGGCTGTTTTCCTTAAATCTCTTGAACCTCCATTAGCTTCAAACTTTTCTTCTGCAGCTCCTCACCTCTCTCAGCCTTCACAGAACTTAGGAGAGTTAGGGTCTTGTTCTGAATAAGACTTTGGCTTAAGGGAATGTTGTGGCTGATATCTATCCAGACTACTAAAATTCTCTCCATATCAACAATAAGTGATTTCGCCTTCTTATCATTCATGTGTTCACTAGTGTAGCACTTTTAATTTCCTTCAAGAAATTTTCCTTTGCATTCACACCTTGGCTAGAAGATCTCAGTGACATTCTTCTGAGCACACAGAGATATGAAGTGAGCACATGGTGTTGGAAAAGTGGCATCAAGAGACTTAATGCAGGGTTGTCACAAACTTTCAATTTGTTAAAAAAAAAAAAGCAACTTCTAAAAAGTGCAGTAAAGCAAAGTGCAATAAAAGTATGCCTGTATATCCAATTTTGTTACAGAAAAGCATTACAGGCAGATCGGTTAGAATTTCAAGCACGGAAACAGATTATAAGGATAAAACTATGTGTGTGATATGAAATTTAAGTAGAAGTTCACAAAAAAAAGGTAATGAATGACATTTCTGGTACTGAATAAAAAGTTTACTTATATCTTTTTAAATCAATATTAAGTAACAAATCACTATGACATTTAGATTCCACCGGTTACATTTTAAAAAGTGATAAAACAGTTCTGAAGTAATCATATTTATAATACTCTAGAAATTACATTCTTTTTTAAAACTTTAATTATTTTTGAGACAGGATCTCTGCTTTGTTGCCCAGGCTGGAATGGAGTGGTACAATCATAGCTCACTGCAGCTTCAAAATCCTCAGGCTCACATGATCCTCTCACCTCAGCCTCCCAAGAAGCTAGGACAACAGTTGCATACCAACACGCCTGGCTAATTTTTTATAGAGACAAGGTCTCGCTATACTGCCCAGGCCAGTCTCAAACTCATGGGCTCGAGTGATCATCCTGCCTCAGACTTCCAAAGTGTTAGGATTACAGGTTTGAGCCACTGCACTTGGCCATAATTATATTCTTCACAATCACTTAAAGTTATGAAGAAAAAATTTTAATGTAAACTTAAAAATATGCAAGGATCATCACTTTTCAGAATTCTCATATGAGTTATATAAGCAAAAAGTTTTAAACAGTACTGCTATAGAAATTGTGTGGACCAGCCCTCTACCTATGACTAGGCATTAGAAGTGTAAGGTCTTAACCTATCAATTAAGTAGGTGCAAGGATGCCAAGAACATCTCAGAATCATATAACATATGCTCAATTACTTTACCAGGCTAACAGGAAATCTGAAATCATTTTAAAAGGCTCTAGGTCTTCTTAACCCAACTAAGAACTGCAGGCATTATGCAAATCATGCCATCTTAAGCTGAAGCAATGAAAACAACTTAGAAGACATCTTTTAGTATAGAAAAAAAGTGATATTCCACTTTCAGGAACACATGGATCAACATATCTCAATGACATTACTCTGAGCCAACAGGAGATAGTCTTTACATACCTAGTGTAAGACCTCAGGATTTGGCTATCACTGAACAAAGGACAAGGCTAGAAGAGGCAATCAGCAGAAAAATACAAATAGATGTATCAGGATGAAAAGTATTTCCATAGTTGACAATATAATCACACTGAAAGTTGCACTAGAGATCACTGTCAAGGTAATTTCTAGCTTAAAAAATCAGTAATTGGGACAGGGGCGGTGGTTCACACCTGTAATCCCAGCACTTCTGGAGGCCGAGGTGGGTGATCACCAGGTCAGGAGTTTGAGACCAGTCTGGCCAATATAGTGAAACCCCGTCTCTACTAAAAATACAAAAAAATTAGCAGGGTGTGCTAGTGTGCACCTGTAATCCCAGTTACTCGGGAGACTGAGGCAGGAGTATCACCTGAGCCCAGCAGGCAGAGGTTGCAGTGAGCCAAGATCACACCATTGCATTCCAGTCCGGGTGACAGTGCAAGACTTCATCTCAAAAAAACAAAAAAACCAGTAATTGACCAGGCACAATGGCTCACACCTGTAATCCCAACATTTTGGGAAGCTAAGGCAGGAGGATCACTGGAGCCCAGGAGTTTAAGTTTGAGACCAGCCCGGAAAACACAGGGAGACTTTATCTCTACAAAAAAAAACAAACAAAAATAGCCAGGCATGGTGGTGCATGCCTGTAGTCCCAGCTACTTGGGAGGCTGACGTGGGAAGATCACTTGAACCAGGGAGATCAAGGCTGCAGTGAGCCATGATCGTATCACTGCATTCCGGCGGGTGACAGAGATGCTGTCTCAAAAAAAAAAAAAAAAAAAAAAAAAAAAATCAGTAAATGTGACTTCACTGTTCATTAGATACATATATTTGAGAATATATAAGTCCAGGTGTGATGACTCACGCCTGTAGTCCCAGCACTTTGGGAGGCTGAGGCGGGAGGATCACTTGAAGCCAGGAGTTTGAGACCAGCCTAACCAACATGGTGAAACCCCATCTCTACTAAAAACACAAAAATTAGCCGGGTGTAGTGGCGCATGCCTGTGATTCCAGCAACTAGAGAGACTGAGGCAGGAGAATCGTCTAAACCTGGGAGGTGGACGCTGCAGTGAGCCGAGATTGCGCCACTGCACTCTAGCCTAGGCAACAGAGTGAGATTCTCTGTCTCAAAAAAAAAAAAAAAAAAAGAGAGAGAGAATATATATAATGCAGGGGATCACTTTCCAGCTTAAGCAGTAGTGTATTTTTATATTCCTTCCATACTAATATATAACTCTCTCTCACTAGAAATTCACAAAACAGATTCTCAAACTTGTGAACTAAGGAACGTTGCCTGAAAAATTTAGTAAATACCAAAATCTTCAGAACACCAGATTCCTTTCTTATTTAACCACTCCAAAAGAATAAGTAGTTTTCCAAAGTTATGGCTACAGAAAAATCACAGTGATCTTTAGTGATCCTAGGGCAGCATCAATCCAAAATTGCAAGTTCAGGGGCAAAGGATTTTGCACTACAGGATGTGGTTTCCCTATTATCTAAACTAGGCCATCAAGTCTAGTCCTCAAGGTACCATGCCACTCAATACTTCTCTCTTTGTTCTTTCCCCAAGTTTTTTCTCCAAGTGTGCCATAAAACTTTAGCCACTTAGAAGAATTTGTCATTCTAGCAGAAAATCTTCAATTCCTTTAGCACCCCTTTCTGCTGTGTAATCATCCAGTGATTTTCCTTCACACATACACAAAAAAATTGCAGTGAAGAGTAACACAGAAAAAACTATCGTAGCTAAGGCACTTTTAGAGCAGAGATAAAAAGTAAAACCATAGCTGAATACGTTCCAATTCATAATTTATTATAAACCACAATTCGAGGTAAAAATCAAACTGCCACCAAAGTACTAGCAAGTCAGAATCCAATACAAAAGTAGTCACCACACCCTAACGCTGAGCATATTAGTCTTTAAAATGAAGAACTGACCTTTTTGATATATAAACCCAATAGTGCCCTACTTCATGCCTACCAATACCTGAAAATTAATCTTTAGCTTATTATTCATTCTCAAAACACTCAGACTAAAGGTTTCTTACAATATCCTAAGATAGTCAACAGGCAGAATTTTTCTGACATTCACAATTGGCTCTGACTAGTTATTTCTGATCATTTATCATTTATACTTAAGGATTCCCTATTCATGTCTCTATTCTCTAGTTCTTACCACTCCTCTCTCAAAAGTTCTATTCCATATATTCCTTCTCAAGTTCTTAATTTTTAATTGCCTCCCTAGTTCAGATTCTTTTCACCCATTCACTCCCAACTCAGCAAGCATCACATCCAAATTTTTGCATCCCCTTCCCCTCAATATTCAACAAACCTGGGTTCCCGAGACCCATGGACTTTTTTCTCACTTCTGCCCCAAAAGCAGAAACGGCAGGGATGTATAACACTTACAGGGAGACCGAAAGGTGTTCGGAACTGCTCCCATTTTTGTTAAGCCTCACATCCAGTCTGTCATCTACATCAGCAGTCCCCAACCTTTTTGGCATCAGGGACCGGTTTCATGGAAAACAATTTTTCCAGACCGAAGGAAGGTGGGAGGGATGGTTTCAGGATGAAACCGTTCCACCTCAGATCATCAGGCATCAGATTCTCATAAGGAGCACACAATGTGCGCTCACATCCCTTGCATGTGCAGTTCACAATCAGGTTTATACTCCTCTGAGAGTCTAATGCCCCCCACTGATATGACAGGAGACAGAGCACAGGCAGTAGTGCTCGCTCACCTGCCAGTCCCTCACCTCCTACTGTGCAGCCCAGTTCCTAACAGGCCACAGACTGGTACCAGTCCATGGCCCAGGGGTCCCTGATCTACATAATAATCTAAAAGTTTCATCAATTTTTAAATAAAACTTAAAAATAATAAAATACTAATAATTTATAGAGTCTATGTCACAACCCAAGAAGAAGAAAGCACTGTGGTATACAGTAGAGAGACTTGCTTACCACTAAGGTAGGTTTTCTGAGTAAATTAGTGCTAGCACACAATTTTGGGGATCGAAATATGTTTAAAATAAAAATCATTCCAAAGACTCACCCAAGAAATTAGGATACAGATGATCAATATTGTCCACAACATAGTTACACTTGGGACATCTATTATTGTCCTCCAAACTCTGATGAATACACTTGTAGCTATTAGTAGGGGGGAAAAAAAAGGCTTAATTAAATCAATGAAAAATTAATAAACTGGTCATAAAATAATGACTATTAGTCTTCTATTCCTCATTTTCAACATAAGTAATCTAACAAATTTATTTTTGTTTATATTTTTACATTATCAACAGGATATACAGGGCACTTACTGGGTGAACAGTACACAAAAGTTATTTCAAACTAAACTCAAATATCAAAGCTACTGTATACAAATTTAAAAAGCTGTACTCACTAAATTTTAAGTTTATGCAATTTAGATAGTTCATAACACCACCACAAAAGCAAATGCCTACAGCTCAGTTAAGCAAACAGACTATTCATGTTACTGGCATGCTAACACCCTTAATACTCAGCATTCACTCAAATAAAAAAGACAAACAGAAAACTCAACCAAAGACAAAAATCAGTCAATAAGCATGAGAAAACCACCATCTTCACTAGTCACAAAAAGCTGATTTAAAATTATATACTAGATTTTACCAATCAGGATGGAAAAATAAAATACTGCCAGTAAGGCACCACGGCTCACACCTGTAATCCCAACACTTTAGGAGGCAGAGGCAGGAAGATCACTTGAGGCCAAGAGTTCAAGACTAGCCTGGGCAACACAGCAAGACTCCATTACTAGAGAAAATGAAAAAATTAGCCAGGTGTGATGGCATGTGCAGCTAGTTGGGAGGCTGAGGCAGGAGGATCACCTGAGCCCAGGAGTTCAGGGCTACAGTGAGCCATGATTATGCCAGTGCACTCCAGCCTGAGTGACACAATGAGACCCTGTCTGAAAAAAAGAGAAAAAAAGACAAAAGAAAATACTGTCATAGTTAAAGAATACATGTGGCTATGAACAATCTCAAGTACTGTTACAGAAAATGTTAACCAGTACAACTTTCCTAGAAGCCAAGTTGCAGGAAAAATCTTAAGGTTTTACATCCCCTTTTGAATATTTTACTTCTAGGAATTTATCCTAAGGAAATATATATTTAGAAGGGTGTTTAATACAAGATTATATGTAAATAGCAAAATAAAATAGAAGCAATCCAGACACTAAGAAATTGACTAAATATATTTGTAAACATCAATCCAATGCAATGCTATACAGCCATCCAATATAAATTATTGTAACTTGTATGCCATAAAAATAATCTACTCATTGCTAGAAAACTGTGATTATAGAAAATTTTCCCTTTCTTACATTATATATTTCCATAATGTTAAACCTTTTACATTTGTGTACCTCCCTATTAAAAAAAAAACTCAAGCATTTTTCACCCAAATCATGGAAAAGTATCAAACTGATATGAGAAAAAAATGTCATTACACATACTGCTGAATAAAAATGACAATCTATAACACAGTGGATATAATATAACCCCATTTGTCTTAAAAATTATATATGTGTACATTTAAAATAAATTATAAAAGACAATCTTCGCAATGTTAACAGTATTTGTCTCTGGGTCATATAATTATGGGAAATGTTTTCTTTGTAGATGTCTTTAAGTCAGGTTTCTATAATAAATATTACTGGTAACACTCAGGAAAAAAATGATTTCTAAGAAATTACAAAGGCGATCTGTAAAGATCATTCCTACGGAGAAAGTACCTCTTTTATTATGTATCCAAATTACTATAAATTTACTTGAGCTTTGTAAACGGAAGTTGATTTTTATATCCACTTACCTTCCCCCTCCACCTTAACAAAATACAAAATAAAACAAACAAAACAATAAAAACCTACACTCCCCAGGTTTTGCCCTTCTGGTTATCAACTACTTTCACATCTCACATTTGTTACTTTCAAGATAAGTAAAAAGGAGAAAGGTGTGAAGAATAAAAGTAACGGTGGTCTTTGGCAAATAACAGGGGCCTCGAGACTGAAGTAAATGCCAGGCACATAATGGACACGCAAATATCTACTGAACAAATGACCTGCACAATGTTCCAAAAACAGTATCATCACCTCTTGCAACTATGACAAGGCTAGAATTACCATAATCATAAAATATGCTTCATAGATGACTGAAAATTTCCTATATGGAAACTTCACTGAGGAAATAACATACTAAATCTTTATTTTCATTTTTATTACAAGGAAGAAGTATAACGTAGGCATGCAAATACAATAGGCTAAGAATCACAACATGTAGAAATTTATAGTCTGCTTAGGGAAAAAGGAAATGAGTTAACATTACCAGGAAATATATATACAAAATTTAACCCTTTTATAAAATCAGCAGCCTGGGCAACATGGCAAAACCCTGTCTCTACAAAAAAAAATAATAATAATAAATGCAAAACTTAGCTGGGCCTGGTTCTGTGTGGCCTATGGTTCTAGCCAATCAGGAGGCTGAGGCTGCAGTGGGCAGAGATTGCATCACTACACTCCAGCCTGAAGGACAAAGCGAGACTCTGTCTCAAAAACAAAAAAACAAACAAAAAAATCAGCAAGTTCAAACAAAGCAAGTTATAAAGGAGAGACTCTGAAAGGTAGTTAAAGATAAGAGACGGCTGGGAGCGGTGGCTCACACCTGTAAGTCCAGCACTATGGGAGGCCAAGGCGGGCAGATCACCTGAGTTCAGGAGTTCAAGACCAGCCTGCCCAACATGGCGAAACCCCGTCTCTACTAAACATACAAAATATTAGCTGGGCGTGGTGGCAGGCACCTGTAATTCCAGCTACTCAGGAGGCTGAGGCAGGAGAATCACTTGAACCTGGGAGGCAGCGCTTACAATGAACCGAGATCACACCACTGCACTCCAGCCTGGGCGACAAGAGCAAAACTCCATCCCCACCCCCTGTCAAAAAAAAAAAAAAATGGTAAGAGACATGCCAGGCTGGGTAAATCTGCTCACGCCAGTAATCCAAGCACTTTGTGAGGCCAAGGTGGGCAGATCACCTGAGGTCAGGAGTTTGAGACCAGCCTGGCCAACATGGTGAAACTCTTCTCTACTAAAAACACAAAAAATAGCTGGGCATGGTGGCAGGCGCCTGTAATCCCAGCTACTCAGGAGGTTAAGGCAGGGGAATCACTTGAACCTGGCAGGCCAAGGTTGTAGTCAGCTGAATTGCATCCCTGCACTCCAGCCTGGGAGACAAGGCGAGATTCTGTCTCAAAAAAAAAAATTTTTTTTTAGTTTTTTTTTTTAAAGTCAGGACCGGGTGCAGTGGCTCATGCCTGTAATCCCAGCACTTTGGGAGGCCAAGGTGGGCAGATCACTTGAGGTCAGGAGTTTGAGACCAGCCTGGGCAACATGGTGAAACCCCCATCTCTACTGAAAACACAAGAATTAGCCAGGCATGTTGGTGTGTGCCTGTAGTCCCAGCTACTCAGTAGGCCGAGGCAGGAGAACTGCTTGAACCCGGGAGGCATAGGTTGCAGTGAGCCAAGATCACACCACTGCACTCCATCCTGGGTGACAAAGTGAGACTCCATCTCAAGAAAAAAAAAAAAAAATTAAATAATAAAGATAAGAGATGGGTTGACAGATAAGTAGAAGGAGAACATTATGGGTTTTCGCAAATAACTTTTCTTTAAAAATAAATGATAGAAAATGTGTAGATGACAAGAACAAGCTAAGTTGTTAAGTCAGAGAGGAGTTTGTTAGGCTGGGTGCAGTGGCTCATGCCTGTAATCTCAGCAATTTGAGAGACTGAGGCGGGAGGATTGCCTGAGCCCAGGCAATGGTTTGCAACCAGCTCAGGCAATGTGGTAAAACTCCAACTGTACAAAAATTTTAAAAATTAGCCATGCATGGTGGCAGTGTGTCCCCGTGATCCCAGCTACTCAGGAGGTTGAAACAGGAGGACTGCTTGAGCCCAAGAGGTTGAGACTGCAGGGAGCCGTGTTTGCACCACTGCACTCCAGCCTGGTGACAGAGTGAAACCCTGTCTCAAAAAGCAGAAAAAAAAATTTTGTCAATATACAAGAAATTATTCCAAAATCTAGTAGAAACTCCTCTTTTCTTTAGCATCCTAATCATATTCCACATCAATAGGCTTACTACACTATCTCTCACAGACAAGAAAAAAATGGGACATAGCTGGAAGTAACTGTTCTCAGTAAGAATATAGTTCAAGTGATTTTTCTGCATTGCACTTGATAAAATCCATTTATATTGTAAAATTAAAGTACATCAAATTACATACCACTGTATACAACTTAAGTGACAAGATGCATCGAGTGTATCTTAGAGCATCTACTACTTCACTACCACCCCAGAGGAGATCTGCCTTAGTTTGAGAAATAGATACTATCTTATTCTTGTACTTATTTCTGTATGTGCCTATCAGCCCTTCTTCCATTTTATCATTAAATGCAAGGATTTGTTTTATCCTCTGTACCCTTAATGTTTAGCACAATATTCTGTTAAAAGTATTCAAACTCAGTAAATGTTGAATGCATGAATGAAAAGATATAGCCAGGAAAGCAACATATGTCTGTCTGCTGCCTTCTGGGTCATATAAAACACCACTAGAAATTCTCAGTATTTCTTTCCCCAGTAACTAATTCATTCTCATTCATCTAATCTACCTGACCATCACCAGCATAATAAAGAGGTAAAAGGGATACGTATCTCAGGTCCACCTGAGAAATTTTCAGGCTACTCACACTGCAACTCTTAAAAATAATTATTTTAATTCTGCTGATATAAATGGGTGCCTATTTCCTCTATTATGTATCTGCTAATAAAAAATGTGTATTTCTCTATAGATGTATACAGTTACGTTTCTTCTACTATGTATATACTTGCTAACAAATATAAATATCTTTTTATATCTATGTAAACAAGGATGAGTAGATATAAAAAACTGTAAGTAATCAGAAAATTCTAGAAAAAAGAACAAACTATAACAAGAACAGCCAGGACAAATTAAGACCAGTCATTACATCTAACAACTAGATGTAAAGAAAGACCAAGTATGGTGCAAGATGATGGATTAGCCAAGAGTCTCAAAAGGCAATCTGACACTCAGGTTTGATCACCTATGTGTTGGGAGACGACTATGCTGAAGGACCCCATTAACTGTAACTAATTTGTAATAAAGCAAAATAGTAAATCAGGGCTTGGTAGACATACGGTACAGGGCACAAGCTGGAGGCAACAAAGGGGCAAAGACAAAGAGCCAATTTTATCTCTACATTATGTAAAAGTCAGATTTCTTATTATATCATTGTATTTCAGTTAGGCTATAGACACAGGTAACAGTAGGTTCTCAAGTGGGAATAAATAAAGTGAAAGAAGTTCCTGCTATATTGTCTCCAACTTGTTACTAGGAAAGACATTTTCATGTGGTCCAATTTGATTTAATGGTAATAATTTGGATGAGCTTTGAAGTGGTATACTGCTTGAATTCAGCTTACCAGCCAGAGTTTATATTACTAGAAAGTTGACACAAGAGGCTACAGTTGATGACTGAAGTTCCATAGCCCTCACATGTTAGGAAAGAGTAAAGAATTATAAACTAAACTGCAAAAAAAAAAAAAAAAAAAATCACAGTATAGCAAGCCTGATGCTGGAATTGACAGCCTCCAGTTTTATTAGTTCCTGCCAACATTATGGCCTTTATCCTACTAAAACCTGCTCTCTGGTGGGTATCTTAAAACACGTTCTCATCAGGGTATAACATAAAAATGAAATTGTATTATAACGATCTAAGCCTAAATTGTTTTCAGAGAAGGAGGAAAAGCTATTTAAGAAAGCAATGGGGCTTTCCAACAATGACCTAAAGACAACATGAAGATTATAAATTTATTGAAAAGCCCCAGTCTGTCCACTTATAAGGTCAATCTGTAATTTATTCCACTTCACAACATAGTGAAGAAAGGTCACTGAATTGATCCAGGGCCTTTTTTAAAAAATGCCACAATGGATACGTAAGTTACAGGATACTCAGGAAAATTAAAAACCTCACTTCCCAATCTATTTCATATTTCAACACTTTTAAATCTATAAAAAGAGAAGGAACTGAAGGAGTAAAAAGAAAATAAGAATAAGAGGGCAGGAGCAGCGGAGAGTAACTTGATAAAGGTTAGGTAAGTTTCAGAACCAGAAGTAGAATCCTAGTCTAACAATATCAAGAACTTGTTCTTTCAGCGCTAGATGAGTACTTCTTAAGGGAGGAAAATTTTGTCCCCCAAGGGGTATCTGCAATGTCTAGAGACATTTTTGGTTGTCACAACTGCAGAGATGGGCAAGGGTGGTACTGGGTAGGGGTCAAGTATACTGCTAAACAATCTACAAAGCACAGTACAGTCACCTACGACAAAGAATTATCTGGTCTAATATGTCAATAGTCACAAGGTTGAGAAAGCCTACTCTAGATCACCTAATTTTCAGAATCATCAAAATGCAAATCTCTGAAAAAAAAAAATATGGTTTCCTATGGAACGCTAAGATGCTAGGTCAATTTATGGACCAAAGAGAACACTACTGCCGAACAATGGCCTGAAAAGGCCAAGACCATACCTGTATCAGCCCCAAAGCAAGACCCACGTGTCCAGAATTTCATTGGCAATACAGAGCAGCAAGTGATTCGTGAATCATAATAATGTCAATGATATACTAGAAAATAAAAAGTATTCAAGAAAGCAAGATGACTAAAAAAAAAAAAAATAGTAAAAGGATTCTGAAAGAATACCTAATCATTCCTTTTACCTATGATAACCTCTGAGGGGGTAGGCAAGAAAAACTAGATAAAGGTAGACATCTGTATTTTATATTACATCTTCCTGTACAATGAGTTGTTTTTTAAAGCAAGAATATACATTGCTGTTATCATTTTAATACTTTATTTTATAAAAATATAGAAAATACAAGCTAAGAAAGTGATTTGTATTTAAAGCTTTTTAAGTGACTAGCAGAGGGAATACACCTATCACTAAAGCATCATGCTTCAGATGAAACAAAAGATCTTACAGACTAGTGTTAATAACCAATACTCTTCATGATGAAGGAATATCAATCTGCCAGATATCACATCCAACTTCAGCATAAAATTATGGGCCTGATTTCAATATGAATTAGAATATAAGGAGTATTAGAACACAAGGAATACTAAGGCTAAAATAATATATCAACAGAATAGGTTTAAAAATAAGCAAAAATAAGTTAAAATGCACAGATTACACATCCATTAGGATGTCTACTATCAAAAAACAACAACAGAAAATAAGAGTTGGCAAGGATGTGGAAAAACTGGAACTCTTATGCACTATTGGTGAGAACATAAAATAGTGCAGCTCCTATAGAAAACAGTATGGTAGTTTCTCAAAAAATTAAAAACCAAATTACCACATGATACAGCAATTCCACTTCTGAGTATACACTCAAAAGACTAGAAAGCAGAGTCCCAAAGAGATGTTTGTATACCCATGTTCACAGCAGCATCATTCATAATAGCCAAAAGGTAGAAGAAGCCATCCTAGTGTCTACTGATAGATGAATAAATAAAATGTAGTCTACATATACAATGGAGTATTATTCAACCTTACAAAGGAAAGAAATTCTGACACATGCTACAACACTGATAAACATTGAAGACATTATGCTAAGTGAAATAAGCTAGTCACAAAAAGACAAATACTTCTACTTATTCGAGGTATCTAGAATAATTAAATTCATAGAAACAGAAAGTAGAATGGTGGCTGCCAGGGGCTACGGGGAAGGGGAAATGGGGAATTGTTGTTTACTGAGTGCCAAGTTTCAGTTTTGCACAAAAAGTTCTAGAGATCAATTGTACAATAATATGAACATACTTAACACTACTGCACTGTTCACATAACTGTGGTTAAAATTATAAATTCCTCCAAGACTAAGAAACCAGAAAAAATACATATATAAAATATAAATTCGATATTATGTAAATCTTACAATTAAAAAAATGTTTAACATACGGGTTAATCTGGCATGATATAATGTAAAGCTAATATTGAGCAAAGTGTTAAAGAAAAGAACACAGAACTTTTTAACCCTCTATTTTTTTTCCATGACCTTCTTAGCCTGCTTTACTGCGCTCTCCAACCTATCCTCACAAGTGAGTAACTAGTGCTTCATGGTTGGTCCTGATTGCCCAGCATCACTAAGAACAGTAGTGAAAAGTTCTTATTAACAATTAATAAATGCAGAAGTTTTCAAATCCATCGGTAAGGCCTATGCTAAATCTAAACATTTGACAGAAATTATGTACCAGCTGTTATGTTAACCGCCTTAAACTGCCATATCTACAAAGACATATGTCAAGAAAAAAAATATGATTGTAAGATAATCAAAGTTGGTTTAAAACACATAACTTCTCATTGGCTACATTTACAGATAAGTTTTAAAATATCAAAAGATTATTTTACTCAGTAGAATTGTCTTACCAAAAGCTGTGGCCACATTTTGTCATGTATGCTTCTTCAATCATATCAAAGCAGATGGGGCTAAAAAGAAAAGAAAAATAATTGATTTTTTTTTAAAGTAGAGTGATTACAAACTGGAAAAGGCTAGTAACAATACCAATGAAATCATATTTCAATATATAGTTTAGAGCTAAGTCTTCAAACATTCTATCAATAAGAGATGAAATTTCTATTGAACTAAACTTTAGGGGATTGTTGGTAAAATGACAATCAGGATGACCCTAAGGGCCACTGTGCTTCAAAATGAACTAAATGAGTAAATCAAAATGGTTCCAATATTTTAACTCGGCACATAATTTTTAATAGTACAATGTAGTCACCAGAGCCCTTAAGAAAGCTCTACTATCGTTTTCTACCATCACCTGCACTCAAAAGCACCTACCCAGACCTGCTAAATACTCTTTTCTTTCTATCCCAAATAAAACTAATTCCTTGATGATAAATTTATAATTACAGTTTCAACAATGCTTGTAGGTAACAACAATAATCGTAACAACTTATTAGCTATTTAAATAAAATAAACTATACACATTAAACCCACAACATATATTAACTCATTTAATAGTTTCAACAACAAAGTGAAATAGGTACCAATTACTAGGCACAGATGAGGGAACAGAAGCAGAGAGCTGTTAAAGTCACACAGCTAAGAAGTAACAAAGTCAAAATTCTAATTCAGGTCTATGTTCTCAACCACTTGTTCTATACTACTTTCTGATACTTTAAACACCAATTATAATCTTCTTCTCCCCTCTTTTCCTATAAAGAACAAAAAACAGAATACTCAAAATCCCAGCCTTTTCTGTACTTAGGATTGGCTATATGGCATCATTCTGGCCAATGAAATATAGTCATCAGTTTCTAAGGGGCCACCATCTATGAGAACAAAAATGCAAAACCTTGTAAAAAGACATTTCCTTTTATCCTTCCCTTTTCTTCCTTACTAAAATTCTGATGCAGTGTTCAGAGATACAACAGCCATCTTCTGACCATGAAGATAAAAACCTTAAGCTAGGAAGATAGGAGGATACTGGTTCCTGGATGAAATCCTTGAGCAGCTGCATCAGCTTTGGATTGCCTCCGCTGGACTTCACATTACATGAGAAAGTAAATCTTCACTTGCTTAAGTCAATATTTATCAAGTTTTCTCTTATTGGCACACAAATCCAAATCCTTAGGGATGATACAATGATACTTAAAACTGTAACTGAAAATACACTCACTCCTTCAAGAAAAACTTCTTGGGCATAAACACTATCCTTTAGAATATAGGAATGTAAAGTCTAATAGCAGACTCAAATATATTATAGATATTACAACACAATGTGAAAATATATACAATATATACAATAATGATAAACATAATAATAAGAGGACACACTGGCTATAAAGGGACCCACAGGAAAGAAAACTGAGATTTGGGGGTCAGAGCAGGAGGAAAGGCAAAAGAACAAACCAATCAATTCACTGAATATATCAGGAGCTGTTTAATAGAAAACAATACATACCTAATTGTTAGCATTTTGAGAAAGGGGTATTTTAATGTTTGAGGATCCTTCAAGTATGTCACTGCTAAGACACACAACACCTCTATGCAAATTTTTAAAAGGCACTCTCACAGCCTGAGCAATATACTGAGACCTCATCTCTACAAAAAAATAAAATAAAATAAAATAAAATAAATAGCAAGCATAGGAGCATACACCTATAGCCCCAGCTACTCTAGCTAGTCCCAGCTCCTCGGGAAGCTGAGGTGGGAAGATCACTTGAACACAGCAGGCGAAGCTGCAGTGAACAGAGACTGTGCCACTGCACTCCAGCCCAGGTGACAGAGCAAGACCCTATCTCAAAAAGAAAAGAGAAAAAAAAAAGCGCACCTCAGAGAACTAAGGAATGTGTTAAAGACTTTGGCTTTTAAATTGAGTAAAACAGCAATTCACTGGTGGATTTGGAAAAGAGAAGTGATGTGATTTGATACAGTGATGAACCAGATCATTCTACCTACTACGCTGAAAAGAAGACTAAAGGGAAGCCAAGTGTAGAAATGGTTACGGAAGCTATCATAATCCAAGTGAGAAACGGTGCTGAAATGGACTATGGTGGTAGCAGTTGGGCTGATGAGAAGTGGTCAGATTCTATATATATTTTGAAGGTAGAACTACGGTTTGCTGAGAGATGTTGGGTATGAGACAAAAATCAGTGAAACTTTCTGGGCTGAAAACTGGAAGAAATGACTACAGGTTTACTTCGCACAGAGCTCCATCATCTATTAGTTTATTTAAAAAGAAAAGGCCGGGCGCGGTGGCTCAAGCCTGTAATCCCAGCACTCTGGGAGGCCGAGACGGGCGGATCACGAGGTCAGGAGATCGAGACCATCCTGGCTAACACGGTGAAACCCCGTCTCTACTAAAAAATACAAAAAAACTAGCCGGGCGAGGTGGCGGGCGCCTGTAGTCCCAGCTACTCGGGAGGCTGAGGCAGGAGAATGGCGTAAACCCAGGAGGCGGAGCTTGCAGTGAGCTGAGATCCGGCCACTGCACTCCAGCTTGGGCTACAGAGCGAGACTCCGTCTCCAAAAAAAAAAAAAAAAAAAGCAGGAGTATAGTATGTGTCATGTCACATAATGTATTCCACTAATACTAAAACTTACAGTACCCAAAAATTACTATCAAATCAGTTAAAGCCAATAGCTTTTAAGAAATGTATTCTGAATAACTAGTGAATTAAAGGTCTCCACTCTTTTTCTGAGACAGTGTCTCACTCTGTCACCCAGGCTGGAGTGCACTGGCATGATCATGACTCACTGCAACTTCGACCTCTTGGGCTCAGTACTTCTCTCTTGCCTCAGCCTCTCAAATAGCTGGGACAACCGGTGCATACCACCACATATAGCTCATATATATGCACTGACATATGTGTATATTATACATACATTATATATGTGTACGTGTATGTATATTATATACATATTATATATGTATATATGTGTGTTTTTATATATATACAGTAGACACAGGATCTCCTTGTGTTGCTCGGGCTGCTCTCAAACTCCTAGGCTGGAGCAATTCTCCCACTGTGGCCTCCCAAAGTGTTGGGATTATAGGCATGAGCCACTATTCCTGGCTGAAATACTGGCTTTTTAACCACAGTTCAAGGCCACAGCTTTCAAGAAAAGTGAAATTAATCCTAGCTATGCCATCTACAGTTTTGTGACTTTGAGCAAGTAGTTTAATCTCTCTAATTGTAATTCCTTATTTGTATAACAGGGATGATATTTACATCATAGAATCATTACACAGATTAACAAGATACCTATGAGGTGCTAAATACCATGCCTGGCACACAACATTCAGTAAGTGGCAGAATACACCAAAAAGAGAAAATACGGGAAAATATACATCAGTAATAGGCCTGGTGCTATGGTCTGATATTTGTGTCCCCCCAAATTTCATATGTTGAAATCTTAACCCTCAAGGTGATGTTAAAACGTGGGCCTTTGGGAGATTTTTAGGTCATGAGGGCAGAACTCTCATGAATGGGATTAGTGCCCTTACAAAAGAGGTCTAAAGGAATTTTATCCCCTCTTCCTCCATGACATCAGGCAGATCCAGAGAGCAGGCACTGTCTGTGGATCAGGAATCTAGCCCTCATCAGACATAAAAACCTCCCTATGCCTTCATCTGAATTTCCCAGCCTCCACAAACATGAGAAATAAAGTTCTGCTGTTTTTAAGTTACCTATTTTACGGCATTTTGTTACAGCAGCCTGCACAGACTACAATACTTAGGAAGGGTACTATCCACCCAAGCCAAAAACTTGAAAGAATTCCTATCAAAAATAGGTAGAACAGAATACAAGAAGAAGGGTTGGCCAATTACTCCCCTTCCCAAGAAAGGGATGAAAAAATCTCAGAAACTGCAGAAATGAAGAGAAGATCCTAATGAAATACCATTAATTCTTTCCAATTTTGAAGAACAAGAATACACCAACAGCAGGTTAAGGGAAAAACTTATCCATTTCGAACCATCCATTTAGAAAAACAATCCATTCAGGACCCCTGTTAACAATGTCAATCAAAAGCATTCAAGGAGGATGGGCAACCCTGCGCTGAGCGAGTCTGTTGGCAGCTCACTTTTTCAACACCATGTGCTCACTTCATATCTCTGTGTCACATTTTGGTAATTCTCACAATATTTCAAACTTTTTCATTATTATTATACCTGCATAATTATCTGCGATCAGTGGTCTTTGATGTTACTACTGTAACTGTTTTGGGAAGCCACAAATTGCACCCATATTAGATGGCAAACCTCATTGTCATTACTCCTCCACTAACCTGCTATTGCCCTTCTCTCTTCCTCTCCTCAGGCCACTGCATTCCAGCCTAAGTGACAGACATAGACACACACACACACACACACACACACACACACACACACACACAGAACAGAGCATCCCAGAGCTGTGACATATGTGAAATGTTCTAACATACATGTAATTGAAGTCATAGACGGCAGAGAAAGAATTAGGAAAAAAAATGTAGAGACGTAACTGAAATCATTTTTAAAATAACAAAAGACATCAAACCACAGATCTAAGAAACTCAGAAACCCCTAAATAGGGATTTCAAAATTAAGAAAATATCCCTAACACATACAATGCACTTAAACAGTTAAAACCAAAAATAAAAAGAAAATCTTGAAGGCAGCCCAAGAAAAACACATTACATACAGAGGAATAAAGATAAAAACAGAAACAGACTTCTCATCAGAAACCATACTAGCCAAAAGACAATGTAGCAGGCACTCTCTAAATGAGAATTTTTTCTTTCAGTTATTTTATTATTGTCATTGCATTTATTTATTTCAGTCCATTTTGAAATATTGGATTATAATTGTCATTTGTTTTGGTCATATCTTTCTGGCTTGCTTTCATTGTTTCTAGGGACTGTATTACATTTCTTTTTCCATTGGGAACTCTTAGTTTCTCATTGTTTAGTGAGAAACAAAAATACTTCTTTA